CTTAAAAAAATGCATGACTGGTATTATTAGTGAATGTCAGTCAGCATTTCTTAAAGGTAGAAGACTCACGTTTGGCTAGTTCTTGATATCTTGGATTACAATTCTTATGACCAGGAACATGGATTTCTGTTGTTTTTGGATTTTTTTTTAAGGCTTTTGATTTGTTAGAACATAGTTTTAAATGAAAAGCTAGTTGTTCATTTGGTTTTGGTGAGAAATTTGATCGTTGATAGAATGTTATATAGTAATATAAGCAGTTGTGTACCGTTTGGTTATTGTCGAGTTCTCTAAAGCATTTGATCTTAAACTTAATTTGAGCAAATGTGAACTTGTGCCTGTTCATGATTGTACCCTTGACAAGATTGCATTGCATCTATTCCTATTAAAAGAGTAATAAAAAAACCTTGGAATTACCATTTAGCAATGGTTTAGATAGAGAAGCTTAAAATTTTAACAGTCAAATTGATTCTAAAAAATGTCCTTTAGTCTGCCCTTGTCTGAGGGGTTTATCTCTTTTTGGATTTATTCTTTTATCTAAAACAGAAGAAGGTTTGTTGAGTTATTTATCCATCTCACTCTGTTTTCTTATCTTACATTAAGAAAAAAAATGTTATACCAAATTTATTTGGAAGAACAAAACACATTACATCCATAAAGCTCAGCATGTTTAAGATTACAAAATGGGAAGGTTGAAGGCTTTGGGTTTTTCAGAATTAATTGGCTTAATCCTGCCTAACAGAAAGCACCTCTGTGTGGTTCGACATCTCAAATAGGTTATTAAGTGTGGAGGATTTTTTATTTTTTTTTATTAAGGTGTGATTGAGTTATCTGAACTCCCAGTAAAGCTGTCTAGATTTCATCAGCAAACTTAACATTTCTGGAAAATGATCTTTAATGATCAATTCTAGATTTGTTACTGTTAACAGGAAATCAATTTTGAAACCAATTTGGATTGATCATAAGGTTTAGTTTGTATGTGACTTTTTTTGGGAAAATTAAATGGTGAGTTCTTTTCTTTTATTGATTTTATGACTAAATTTCAATTTAATGTTAATAGAGAATTAGCCAAAATATGTAAAGCTCTTCCTCTTGCCTTGCTTCTGCTGGTAAAAGGTACCATGCAATATTCTGATATACCCTCGCCCTAGACTACAAATTCATGTTTTGGGATTACTGAGGTTAGGATGTAAAAATACATGTTTAAGGAGGGCTATAAATAAAACTTTATTTGCAGGGTTCAGTAGAGCTTGTTATTTCAATGAATGACTCAGTATGTTGGTCATGGCTGTCATGGATTAGTTCAAGCTTCTTGTCCCACCCAAAGTAAAAGAAACTCAGTTTAAGATTCTGTCATCTATTTGTTTGTCAAATACTGTTAAAATAAATGTGCTGTGCAGGTACATTTTTCAGTCATCAAGGTACAAACAGTTTAAATGTTCCCTCAAAGGCACAGCAGTGGTTTTAAGGACCAGTTGTGTACCTTAAATGAGTTTTCCCTAGTGGATAAATACATATTTGTACCTTTTCATAACCTAATGTCTTGAAGCAGAACAATAAAATAAAACGCCCGGAGAAGAGACGTGTGTGTGTGTGTGTGTGTGTATGGATCCAATACAACTTAGAAAATATGATTTCAGTGGATTATGGTACAATTATATTTCCTGACTAAAGGTACCGAGATGTACCCTTGAGGGTACCACCCCAGTGATAAGAGCAGTACTGTCCAGGTGACTGTTTCATACCTTTTTTTTTTTCTGAGAGTATACACAATGTGAAACCACTGAACATATGTGAGAACTTTTTGGACTGATATAAAAAATGGCTTTCCACCTTTTATTCCAACCTACCTGCCTTTCAGTACAACGTTATTAAGTGTGTTTTTGGTCATTCTAGTAGCCTTAGTATGAATCTCTTTATTAGCACTGTTATTCTTAGGTCCAAATTGTTTATCCAAAATGTAAACTAAATAATAAATGGCCAGTCTTTTTGACCTTCTGTGCAGAATTTAATCATTAAATGGTTGCTGTGCATTCTTCTTGTAACAAATTCACTTAAAACTGCTGAATGTGTACGGTGAGTTTTTTAACTAATTTGTTTAGTTTTTGTGTTTTTCCCACCAAAAGCCCCTTGCACGTGTGTTTTTTAAAAATTATTTTATTTATTTATTTTTTCTTTCTCAATGCTGCCCTTTACTTGTTTTACATTATGTGTTGATGCATTAAAAAATAAAATAAATAAAAGATTACAAAAAAGGTCTCACTTTCTGCTCTAAAATGCAGGGATGTGGCTAAAATAAAGCTCCACTTATGGACTTGAACACTTAGTGTTTTGAAAGTAACATGAAAATGGGAGACACTTATTATTTAAAAATTAAACTCATGATAAATCTAAAATTTTGAACTTTAAAAGAGTATGAAGAACAAAGAAGAAGTATTATTTTCAAAAGTTAAAATTTAAGGGTAAGGTTTGGGACCGCCACCTCCCAATAGAAAGTACCCTATAAATGATGATTTTGTCTATATTTAGTGTATTACTATATCAATTTATGATCATTTTAAATAGATCATAATCTAATCCTTGTAATTATGTATGGTCTGAACACTTCATTTATTTTAAATAGCTTTTGAAAAAGCTTTACTGTGGCACTGCAGTTTGAACTAATTTGGTAGGATGGCCCATATAGCAGTAAAAGGAAACCAACTTCATAATAGTGCACTCATAATATTAATGCACTCATCTCATAATTTGAGGATTAGACGTATACAAGTACATATATGGATGTGACAATCAAGCTTTATGTATGCCATAATTCTGGAGAATGGTGTAGTATAGTAGAGATCAGAAAGCAGTCCTTGTTTCTGTTCTGTGTGTAGGCTGAATCTGTAAAAGCCTGAGTGTGAAGAGGCTTTACCTGAGAGGGGGCCACATCACTTTTTCTATCACCATTTAGCGTTGTGGCAGCTAAAGTGCCCACATGCCTGAGTGTGTAAAGCAGCATTGCCATGGCAACAGTGAGTATGGCCTAGACCCCAGAATGCTGTGCTTCAGTGCTGGGTGGCAGAAAGCCAACATTCAGGGCTACATGACAAGCCTCACAAAGATCTCAGGCCTTACTGTCTGTTAGTGCCCAATTTATCATATTCATACTTTGATACTTTTTTTTGGTATATGCACTTAGTTTTACTAATTTAAAAACAAAACATTTTAAACATATTTATATTACATCTGCTTAGGCTACATACATACTAAGTAGTGCACAATTTGATGTTGTGCTACTTACTTACTTACCTATGTATCAATTAATTAATTAATTAATTAATTAATTAATGGAACACTTATCTGTCCACGGTCTTACTTTGTGGAGATTTTGCATGTCCTAGTGTTGTCTCCTGTGCTAAAAATGCTTCTGAGAGTGGACTAGTATCAGATACAGAGATAGCACTTAGCTAAGAGGCTCACTTCAGGAAATGTTGCTGGGTGAATCTTCCACTATGCCAACATCAGCACCTAAAAGTAGTTTGTCAGTACAGCTTTATTAACCTGTTGTTCTGCTGTGAGATCAGCTGCTTTGACTGATTTGAGGCTTTTATGAAAAAATGCCCAGTATTGTCTTCTGCTTTAGCTGGTGTAGCATTTCCTCCCTCAACTGCAGGAGTGCATTTCAAAGTGCTGTTAGCTTCTGCAGTTGCTCCGTCCCATATGTGTCATTGCAGCAACTGCTCTTACTTTCATGGCGTCATCTTTGTCTTTAACATAGTGGGTCTCGACCCGAGGATCAAGCAGGAATGCTATGTCCAGAATCTTGGTAGTGATAATGCCGTCATATTTTTCATTCAGTTAGCTGATGGCAAGAGTCTTAATGCTTTTTGAGAGATAGGAGTTCTCATGTTTTGGCTTCAGGTTCTTAATGAAGAGGCGAGCAGGAATTTGATCCACCAATTTTTAAAGTATTGGGCGGATGCCCTGGCACTTTTTGATTGAATTTAGGCTGCTAGACATATATGTCCCAAAATATACTTTTGTTTTATAACTTGCCACACTAACACACTTACAAAAAATTACCAAAATATACAAAATGGGTATTGCATTTATGTTGTTTGCTAGCAAAGTTGGTTTTCTAAGGGCCTCAGTAAATCCCACAAAGTCAAAACATGCAACACTGGCACTGTTCGTTAAAGGTTTGGTGTGACATGTTTTTATATTATAGCCATGGCAATATGTAATGGAGGGTGAGAGCAACACACCTAACGAAAAAGGGAGAGACAGTCTCTCTCTCAACAAAAGAAGGAGAGCGGCACATTGAATGATGGAGGAAATGCAGCAGGCTGATGATAGAGGGGAGAGTGATAGTGGTACACTGAATGGTCAAGAGATAGAGTTAGAGCAGCACAATGAAAGAGAGAGAGAGGGCACTGCACTGAATGAGAGAGAAAGAGAGCTACACACTTGAGGATGGGACAGAGATTAGCTCTCTGAACAATATAAGAAGAGTAGCAGATTGTATTATGTTGAAAGTGTGAGAGCAGCACACTTAACAAGGAAAGGAGAGAAAACAGCTCACTCACGATAGTGAGCAGCCCACTGAATTATTATATTATGGAAGTGTGATATATATATATATATATATATATATATATATATATATATATATATATATATATATATATATATATATATATATATATATATAATTTTCTTTCATTTTCTTTTTCTTTTTCAATGAACTGCTTTAATTGGTTGTTGGTTTCACTTCTAGCAAGACTCTGTACCAAGGAGATCTTTTACGATGAAGGGGCCTGAAATAGACACAGCACAGATGACCCTTTCTTCCCAGCTTTTTGGCCACATTCCCAGACATGCCGTGTCAGTTTAAGGAAGTTTTACATCCTTGTTGGAAAGTTTTCTCAGGGGCATGTTTAGACTTTTGCATGTTTTTCTGCAATTGCCTCACTTTTGTGGTCCTATACTAAAGTACTGCGCTCTATTTTGTGTCTCCTCAGGTTTGGACTTTTTGGCTCTCCTGGAACCATTGAGTAGGGGAGAGTGTATGCATGTGTGTGAGTGTGGGATGTGTTCCAGTGGACAGCCTCTGTGTTCTGGAAGCCGCCGTTCTCGTCCATCCAGTGCTGGAGGAAGCAGCTCAGGTTCACAGTATGCCTTTTGTGCTCTGGGGGTGGGTCTGGTGGCCCTGGGGGTCGTCATGATCCTCTGGAGTTTGGTTCCCATGGAAATGCCTCAAAACGGGTCAGCCACAAACTCAAGTGACGTGACCAGCAGTGAAACGAAGCTGAAAACCTCATCTGTGGCATTTGTGCTAGTCGGGGGAGGGCTAGCCATGCTGCTGCTGGCGGTCTGTCTGAGTGTAAAGAACAAGCAGAGAAGGAGAGAGGGCAGGGAAGGGGCAGCCACCGTCACACAGTACACTGACCAAGTGCAGGGAGATTCAGGGGAGAAGTAAGTAACCATTGACTTTAACTTTAACTGTGTATTATCAGTGGTGAAGAAAGTTACTTCAAAATGTAATTCACTACAGTACAATGTTGTCATTAAAAGGCCCATATCATGGAAAACCAGATTTTCCTTGCTTGCCATAAAGTCCAACACCAAGGTATTTACATACAGTGGCCCCTAAAGGCATTTGGACACTCTACTAATTAGTAAATTTTAATGATCTTTAGCTTATTTCTTTTAATGTTTAACAAAAAAGTACAGTATTTGTTTCAGAAGAACTATTTTAGTAAAACATCAAACTGATTGTAAACAGAAAAAGCCTAAATAAGAATTACAACCAGACTGCATTAAATTGAGCTTTTCATATGCTCTGTGTTGTCTGAAATAATCAGTAATTTAGGCTACTTAGTTCTTTTTAAATGGAAGTAGTTTACCATAGATAAATAGATAGCTATTTAGAGGTGTTTTTAGGCGAATGTGATTAGATGTACATGAGCAGATGCAGCATTAGAATGTATAAGGTTGTCATTGTTCAAATCGTACAGTTGTGCATACGCATGTTAGATACATGCCAATTTTCTCGTCCATACTCACAGATTTAGAATATCTTTCAATGCATGCGTTGGTAAATTAAGCCCAAAAAAGAGGCTGTTGCTGCAGCAAAAGTGGGGACAAATTCCCTGTTAGATCTAGAGGTCTGCATAGGCAGTGAAGTTGACCATGACTTAGACACCTGACCCAAGCAGGTCTGACTGGTAATGATAAATTTGACTTTGATCAATCTTTAGCTGACATTCACTTTGTCATTTGTTCCTGGATAGTAGCTGCTGCAAAGCAGCTGCATCCATGGTTAATGTGTCACTAAAGAAACAGCTTGCATCCCACTATTATAACTTAAAATACTATCACAGGCTTTAACAAGCTTTCTATTCATTTTATCCATGGTAAACAGTTAGTAGTGCTGGCTTTGTTGTACACATACCAGGAATATTAAAATTTGTGTATATTTCACTTGTTAAAACCCAACCTTAGCCTGAGCCGTATGAAACATTGGTAGCAGACCTCTAATTAGTACCCTTCATTTTGGAATAAATGTTTAAGGAGCACTTGTCTACACTAGAGATGAAACGATATTAAAATTTCATATCACGATTATCATGACAAATTATCACGATTATCGGTATTATCGCGATATTATTCACGTGTTGAAAAGTAAAATAAATTTAAAAAAATTAATACTGATACACAAACTGAAACTCGTTTCACCAACTTTTATATTAACACAAATAGAATTGGCAGCAATATGCACTTTTTGTTTGCATAAACATTAAAAAATAAGGTCAATACATTTTTAGTATTACTTTTGTATTACTTACAATACTTGTAATACTCTGCAAACAAAAGAATAGCAAATGTGTTGTTGTTGTTGTTGTTGTTGTTATTATTATTATTATTATTATTAATAATAATAATAATAATAATAATAATAATAATAATATCAATTACAACTAGGGATTTCCCTGCATAGAGAATTAAATCTGGACCAACTCTGAGGTGGGTCTTAATGGAGAATTACTACTTCTAAGACGTGTTGCACTCGGGGATTTCTGTCCGAACTGCAGCTGCAGCATTATTGTGCCGTTGTGGCGCTGAACCCTTAATCAATACAGCGCACCAGGGAAAACAGCCAAATCACAGAGGAACTGCGTGACCGTGCAGTGAGCTGCTGACAGTGTAGAACTCACACAGTGTGTCTTCACCTGTGGAGCTGCTTCTCTAAAAGCATTTCAAAACTAAAACACAACTTCGCATCTGAGCTGCGGCAGAAACACTCCTGAAGTTTAATCTCTGAAACTCTGCTTTTCCTAAAAGCGGCACACAGCATTTACTCGCGCGAGATCCCGTCTCAAATGTAGTGCACTATGTAGTGTACTTTGTGGATCATGAAATAGCAAATCCTTCACCAAAAGAGTGCATGAAATGTTCGACTAAGTCATTTATATCACCGTTAACAACAGGTTACAAATTCCCTATTTAAAACTCAACTGCTTGTTAATGATGATCGTGTTTGAACAGTAGCGCACTATGTAGGGGACACTGAGTGATTTGAGACAGTGTTATTCTCCTCTCAGACAGTAAACACTGCAAGCGAGACGAGAAAGGGGAGCTGCGCAGATTGAACTTCTTCAGTGTGTGACTGTTAACTCAGAGCTCATTTTGGAGACTCTCCTCCACAGAAATGTGTGTTAAAAGCTTTAGTTTCGATTCACAGTTGATTCACCGATTGTTTTTTTTTTTTATTGACGCTAAAAGCTTCATTTTATATTATTAACGAACCATAAGCGTACGTTAAACCACACAAACCATGACATTTCTCCTATTTCGAAGTCCACAGACTTCTCCGTTAAAGTTAACCTTGCGTTCTCTAAAGTAGCGGGTGGTGGTCGCGAAGATGACTCGTAAGCTTGGGTGTGTTGCCCCCTTTCGCCGCTATTTTCTTTCGGCCTGTTCTGCAGACAGGGTGGTCATCTTCAATTAACTTTCCTTCTGCATCCTTGTAAAACCCAAAATATGACCAAACGTCAGACTTGGTCTTCTTAGAAGGCTGAAATTTCTCCGAATCTCCGGGTTTTTCACACTGCGGTAATCAACCGCGGCTTTAACGATATTTCAAAGTTCAAACGGTACTACTAACCGTCATTAATTTTACCGCGGTTCACCGTGAAACCGGTAACCGTTTCATCTCTAGTCTACACACTTTTGGACATATTGTACTTACATTATGTCCGTGCTTTAAAATATAAATGAAAATTATTTTGGCCGAGTTTGGGGCCTTTAGCCATGAGTTTCATGTACATTCTAAATAATGAGATCATCTTTTGTGGAAGATTCCACTCCTATCTTACTGATTCCTGTACTTTTTGCCCAGTCTGCTGTTGCAGGTAGTGCACTCTTGCAAAGGACAAGTATAGAAAATATGTATTAACTATTTTTACTTTGAATTCATGGTTCATAATAAATTATAGAATTTTGAGGAATATTAAGCAAGAAGATTTCAGTTAAGTCAGTAGCTGCAAAGTGATTTCAGGAATTTACATGTAACATGTTATGTTAGAGGAAAAAGGTAACACACAGCTGATGAGTTGAATTAGGTGTAAATGAGACAGATTGCTGAAGTCCCAAGGACTGGAATCTGACACAAGCTGTAACTTGTTGCTTTGTACCATTTTACCCTTTTAGTGATGCGTCTCTCCTTGTGTGTTTTTGGCAGTGAACAGCCAGCCCCTAACTATGACGTCCCCAGCTATGAAGAGGCCGTGACCAGTGGTCAGTATCCCATCCGTCAGAGTAACCTCCGCCAGAGCACCACCCAGCTCCCGTCATACGAGGACATAATCACCGCTGTGGAGAACGAGGGGGAGACTCAAAACACTGAGACCGGCCAAAACCCTCCTGCCCCCAGGTACGTATGCCTGTTTCTAAATTAGTTAATAATGTTAAGTATTAATTAGGTCCAAAATGAATGGTTCTATTATCAGCACTGGAGAGTGTGTGTGTGTGTGTGTGTGTGTGTGTGTGTGTGTGTGTGTGTGTGTGTGTGTGTGTGTGTCTGTGTGTCTGTCACATTTTTGGTTGGTGGAATAGCACAGTGACACTGAGATGTTTAAGAACTTCAGCTTGTACCAGCGCCACTACCACATCAGTTTCACTGCAGTACTGAGAATGATCCACCACCCAGATAATACCTCTTCTGTGGAGGTCCATTGAAGAACAGGGAAAAAGGGGCTAAAGTATGCAGAGAAACAGATGCATTATTTTGTACATTTCAGTGGAATTTTGCATGTCATTTCTTGTGTGCATTCTATGCACATAAGCATTAGACAGGGATGGACTGGCCATCGCGTAACAATTCCCAGTGGGCCACTATGTGTGTGGACCACTAAGACAGTGAGGAAAAGTAATGTGCATAGTCATGTAAAATGAAAGAAGACTGCCCAGGCCATACAGCATATGCTGGCTGAATACTGGAGTGCTCGTATATAGTCACATTAGTGACCCACTGCATTCTAAGAGTGTGACCATTGGCCAGTCATGCAAAGGCAGCTGCCCCCAGAACAAAGCATAGTGAGAACAATTGGAAAAGCATACACAAACAAACACAAAGAAATTAATGAATGAAAGTACGCAATTTTTTTGGATATCAGAGAGAAGAACTGCAGGGCCAAATTATAGAAGGGGTAGGTTAGCCAGTTCTTTCAGTCTATTTGCACAATAAGGCTACAGATGGCTTGCTTAATGTTAATGTACTGTCACAAATTGGCTAATTAACTAGCTAGACAACTAGCCGTCACTCCAGTTCTCTTCCAAGCTAAAGTGGCTTTGATTTGTTCAAGCTCATGTATTTTAAATTGAGGAACATATTATTGTTTGGCATTAGTAGGTCATAGGCTAACATCAGAGTGGTTTGCACTGTTTGTTTTTTGTGTTATCTGTGCTTATTTGTTGTATAAAGATTATGATGAAACTTACACCTAAGAAAAAATTTCAGGTTCTGTCCTGCTAGATCTGCCTCAGCAGCAAGTGCTATTATTGTGAAAAGAACGCATCTAGGAGCAAGAACCGCTCAGCCAGCAGTAGACCACGCAAACTCAGAATGCGGCCGCCGATCTCCTGTTGAATCACTCACTAAAGAGTTCCAAACTGCCTCTGGAAGCAACATCAGCAAAAGAACTGCGTGTTAGGAGCTTCACGAAATGGGTTTCCATGGCTGAAAAAGCCAGGAAAGAGCCAGGCCCTCTCATCCAACATCACTGTCTGACCTCACAAATGCTCTTCTGGATGAATGGGCAAAAATTCCCACAAACACACTCCAAAATCTTGTAGAAAGCTTCCCAGAAGAGTGGAAACTGTTATAACTGCTGAAGGGGGACCAAATCTGTAATAATGCCTATGGAGTTAGAAAGGAATGTCATTAAGGCCTGGGTATGTGTAATGTGTAGGTGTCTGAATACTTTTGTCCATATAGTGTATTGTGAGGCAGTTTGGGTTTTTGTTTTTTCATATATGAGTGTTTAAATGAGCTGGTTTGGTTTGCATGATTTTGTATGAGGGTTTCTATTAGGTCAGAATTTAATTGTTCATAGGTCGGTTGGGCTGTGTGTGTGTTTTAAAAGGATCATTAGTTTGTAGTAATCCTGCCTTCCTACCAGTGACAGCTGGGATAGGCTCTAGCACCTCCACGCAACCCAGAAGGATAAGCGGTTTAGAAAGTGTGTGTGTGTGTGTGTGTGTGTGTGTGGTTTCTAGTATTTCATGCATAAAATTTATATTTTTCAGAGCCAAACCAGTCTGTGTAGTGTGTGTGTGTGTGTGTGTGTGTGTGTGTGTGTGTGTGTGAGTGTAAAATTAAGACATGACAAATATCAAAAATTATATCAAACCTCACGATATGTGTATTGTTATACCTTTAGGCCCTAGTATTAATAAAATTATAATCCCCCCCCCACACACAGGCCACAGCCCACAAACCCCCAGCCGAGCCGCGCCAGCAGCAAGGCCAGCCGCATCCTCAGGCCTCTTCGTGTCCGCAGGATCATGTCCGAGAAACTCCATGTCAAAGACATCCGGCTGAACATCCAGAACCCACCACAGGGTGGGGCTACCATAGAGCCACTGACACCCCCACCGCAGTACGAAGATAAACCCCCTGAATTCCCAACAGACGGAGTGTGACCCTGCATGAGACACGCTGTACAAGATGCACTGTACGGGATGATAATTTTTCTCTTTTCTCTTTTCTTTGTCAGACTTACAATATGTGAGCCTTAAGGGAATCCATACAGGAAAGATTCAGCTCATTGTCATAATCATGATTTATGTTGCTGGTGGTTTTTGTTAAGGGGAAAAATATCTAATTTATCCAGTTTTCCTGTTAGTCCCTGATAGTTAATCAGTTGAGACATCAAAATTTTATATTTTGCTTCTTTAGTTCCGCTCTGGAGACACAAGGCTAATGTAGCTAACAAGTAATGGATGCCTATGTCCCGTCAGTTAGCACTGTGCAAACTGCATGCCTCACACTTGCCTCAAACCACACTGAGCTGTTAAGTAGTCTTCAATAGACTTCATATGGTTCTGACACTGTGACATACTGTCAACTATAAAAATGGGCAAAAGTAAATCACCCAGCTAAATCCAATAATAGTAGGCATCTTTTAGCTTGAATTGAGTTCATGTCCATTTTTGAGACTTACCAACTTGGTGGGGTAAGCTTCCTTTATTTGTTAGCTTCCATCGCTTATGTTGGTTGGGAAGGAATTGTGTAAATTAGATTTTTCTCAGTAGTAATTATGGTAATGCTATGCTTGGTCTGGTATGGAAATTATTTTTGTAACTCTGCTGTAGTAAATGCTGATTTGGCAGTGGCGGTGTATCTTTTCAGTAAAATTTTTATTTCACATTTTGTGATAAATTTATAAATCCATGACAAGCTCTCTCTTGCTAATGCTAACTCTAGGGCTTTTTGCTACTAAGGGATATCTCAAAAATACCTCATGGTTATCAGGGCTGTACTGAAACTAAACTCATCACTGTCTGTTTTGATTCATCTTCACTAAGCTTAAAAAAAAAAAAGAGTAAAGCTAGACCAAACATGCTAACCTGCCTAACAATGCTAAGCTATTAATTAGCCATTAAGATGCTAATTCGAGGCTAATCGAATTGCAGTAATTGTTTACAATATTAGCATTTCTGACAGCCATTTCTTAAAAGGAAAAACGTTTGTAAACCAACCCGTGGAGATGTCCAAAAACTCCAAAGAAACACACTACCATTTCATGTCTTCAAACACTACACCAAAAAAGCTAAAATCCACCACAAACTCTTGCTCATGTATTAGCAACGCTGGTCATGTTCACTTAAAAAGAAATGCTTCAGTAGGATTTTTAAATAGGAAAGTTGAATTTTTGAAGGAAGCCTTAAAAATGTGTAGTTGTTAGTTTAATGTATTGTGGGTTGTGTCATATTTTGTAGCCACTTGCCACTGTTTTGTGTGAATTTTGTATTTAGAAGAAAGACGTAGCTGTTTTTTAATAGCACTGTTTGATCATTCTGCATGTGACAGATCCAACAAAATGGGAAGCTTCTCTTAAAATAAAAAAAATATTTATTTTCATCTTTCTTTCAAAACAAATGTCTTGGGTTTGTAATAATAAGTATTTGTGTGTTTTCTGCTGTTTGTCCATTTTCTTTATCTACATCTTCATACAAAGACTTTTAGGCTTTCCTTTGGCCTGTGTGCAACTGATGTTTTGAGATAAGGTGAAATTGTTCTGCTGTTTAGTGGTATCAAGAGTGCTAAATTGGCTAAAGTGTTTAAAGAGTCCATCTTGGTAAAGTTTAAAAAAAACAACAAAAAATAAAGGTCATGATTTGATATTAAAATTAGTTTATGAGGCCTTTAAATGATATTTATGAGTCTGTATGGCATTAAACATGTTATGTTATAAGGACAAAGGGACATTGTTCCCATAAAGCTAATAACTTACCACACCAAAAGTAGCCTAGTATACCACATATCTTTAAATTTTTACACTGTGCATATGCTGTATGAAATGTAAATGTAACTTTCTTTTTTTAACTAGAGAACTTTTTTTTACTCAAATGAGACTAATTGACACTTTTAGACAAACTAGAGAACTGTAGAATGATGATAACTGTACTGTTTTTCTAAATTTTATGAGACTATGCTGAGCTCTGTATGCTATAGAAATGTAACCAAATGTGAATGTAATATTTCCCAGAATGAACAGATGCATTCGAAACAGACATATATACAATTGCTAGAGCTGCATGATAATTATTTTTCATTATGGTATGAGTTTCTTTGATAAACACATTGTTAAAGGGCTGTGATGACAAAATGGCTCAAATTACATGAATAGCATCAAAGTGAAGTAATTAGATTGGTGGGAATTTAGTGTTAGAAGCCCAAGAATCTACACTTTAAAAGATGGTTCTTTAAGGGTTCTTAAGTAAAAAAGATGGTTCCATATAGAACTATGAACACTCAAAGAACCCTTTGCAATATGAAATCGTTCTTCAGATTGATGGAGAATGTACTGTAGATAGTTCTATAAAGCACCAAAAAGTGTTGTTCTATTATTACAAGCTTGACATCTGTTGTTATAGCTTGAGTGTTCATGTTTCTATATAGAACCGTTGTGTTTTGTAAACCAATGAACCCTTCAGGAACCATCTTTTTTAGGAGTGCGGGCTTGAACTCTCCTTGGCATGGAGAACAAGTAACTTAACTATTTGGCTAAATGGCCAATTACAAAACAAACATGCAAAAATAAAAAACTATCCTGAACTACTACCCTGTGAAAACACTTCTATGTTATTCTCACTCTGTGTTTTGTGTAAAATGCATAGACTGGAGGTTTAATTGAAGAATGCAATGATGGCTACTGTCATAACAAATCTTCATTATTAAGGACCTTTTTAAGGAATTAAATATGTGTTCATTTGTTTTTGTAGACCTATATTGAAAATAAACATATATACATTTAGGATACAAACATAAATTGAAAAAGCTGTTCAGGGATTCCTGCCTGTTTTTAGACCGAAACAATTCATGGAACTCACTCAAATCATGTAGACTATAAATTATCCTCAAGGAGGCAACATCAGCAGCCGTATGGCTTTTGAAGCTTCAGTAGAGCAGTGCTTGACATCAGTGACACTGTCATTGTTCAGTCTTACAGTGCACAAAAAATGTGCTTGCTTTTCTGACGCAAGTGTCTATTAGTATTTCATTATTTATGTTGCACTATAGTGAACAGTGCTTGGCTGTTTGCTCAAAGAAGAGGTTATTTATATTTTCAAAAAACGTCTGCACATGTAGTTAGAGCCACACTTTCAATAATAATTTATCACTTCTGATGATGTGATGTGCAACAGCTTTATTGAAAATCGTATTTTATGTTAGCTGAAGGAGCAGGCAATGTTCTGGATCTAATCTTCAGCGCAGACCTACCCCAGCACAGGATACCACAATAAAACCACTTTACTGCTCAAATCATCACTTTTTATCTTTCACAGTCTCCTTTCCTACTCTGGGTGTCCATGTCACCCCCTCAAGTTCTTCCTTCACTCTACACAACCTGCACTCCATCCCTCCATCTCTTGCTTCAACTATCCTAACTACCCTTCCACACCTTGACTCGTTCTTATTTTCTCTTTCTCTGGATACACCTACAGACACTTTCTTTTTTCACTCTCATCTGCAGTTAACCTTCTTTGTCCTCTCTGCTCCAGGCCAGCAGGATCTTCCCCACCTACCCCTTGGCTGACAGGTGTCCTGCGCAGCAAGAGGGGAGAACTAAGAGTGGCTGAGAGAAGGTGGTAGAAAATCCCAGCCTGACTCAGGTCTTCACTCCTTCCAATCACTTCTTTCAAAGTTCTCACTTGAAGTTACTTCTGCAAAATAATCTTTCTACAGAAGGAAACTGGAAGCATCAGTGTCTGATCCATGCAAGCTCTTCAGCATTTTCTCCTCTCCTCAAACCTCCTCCTCCCCCACCACCCTCTGCCCTTACCTTGTTACTTTGTTTGAGCAGAAGGTTAGTAGAATCAACCAGTCTTTTTCCTGTCTCCACTCCTCCCATCAGTCCTTGTCCCCCCTCGCTCTTAATTCCCTAACCTGTTTTTCTTATCTCTCCACAGATGACATCCTGCAGCTACTCGCATCCAGCAATCCAACCACCTGTCTGCTGGATTCCATCCCACCAACATTGTTCCAGTCAATCTCCATGCTTCCCTTAATCACTTTCATCAACAGCTCCTTGACATCATGTCATGTTCAGTCAGCATTCAAGACTGCCTGGGTGGTTCCCATTCTGAAGAAGCCTGCACTTGACAGCTCTGATGTCAGCAGCTACTGACCGGCATCACTCCTTTCTTTCCTCTCAAAAATTCTTGAATTGCAGCTGATAGATAATTGTCTCTCTGTCTCACTCAGAACCAGCTCCAGGAACCCAACCAGTTTGGCTTCAAGCTGGCTCACTCGACAGAAACTGCTCTCAAAGCAGTGACTGCGAGATCAGCCAAATTGTCATCAGTTCTGTGTCTTCTTGACCTCTCTGTAGCCTTTGAAACAGTAAACCACAAGAACCTCCTGTCTGTCCTCTCCAATCTCGGAATCACTGGCTCTGCATGGAAGTGGTTTGAGTCCTATCTGGAGGGGCACTCTTATCAGGTAACATGGAAAGGGTCCACATCCGCTCCATGCTGACTCTCCACTGGTGTCCCAAAAGGCTCAGTACTAGGTCCTCTTCTCTTTTCATTTTACCCTCAATCTCTTGGTGATATAATATCTTTTCCAGGCTTCTCTTACCACTGCTATGCTCACAACACCCAACTAATGCTTTCCTTCCCATCTTCTGATTTCCAGTTGCAGCTCAGCATGTCTGACTGACATCTCTTCATGGATGGCTACCTATCTGAAGCTCAATCCTAGCAAGACTAAGCTACAGTTCATCCTTGGTACTACAGGTCCTCACCATGCTCTTGCCATCTCATTTGGGAACTCCGTGGTTGTTCTATCTGAAGTTGCAAATAGCCTTGATGTAATTCTGATAAAATAATTATTGATCTGTAAGATAATTATTTATTATCGCCAACCACTAATTCTTTGGTGATACGAAGCTGAAGTCCTCAATTCGCCAGTTTCTTGTTCGAATTTTCCCGTTCCACCTTAAATGGTGCAGCAGTTACATTCTGGCGCTTCAGTCGTCAATACTGCTGGACTCCCCCTCTGTTTCAACAAAAATTGGGACACCCTAACCCTAGACATGAACGTGCAAAACAGAGGGCTAAGGGCTAAGTGGTAGGGGGCAAGGGGTGAAATGGGATTGGGCCGAAGACAAGCATCAAGACTCCTCTCTATCCTGGTACAAGTTGGAGCAACGACCTTCCACTAGTTGTCTGAACAGCAAAGTCCTGCAAAGTCTTCAAACACAAACTGAAGATCCATCTCTTTGTAAAACATTTAAGTGAGCACTAATCTAAGTACTTATTGAAATGCATTGTATTGCACTGATGCCATGTTTCACTCTGTGTCTTTCTTTCTGGGTATCAGCACTGGTATTTGTTTCAGGGCAGTGTCTTAGCTCAAGGGTAGTTTGAACTTTAACCTATTTGTACTAGCTGTTACCTACCTAAAAATTAATAGAAGATATTAGCTAGCCATTAGCATGCTAATCCGCTTCTTGCTTCTTATATTCTTGCAAATAAACCTGCAGTCCTCATACGAGGACATCATTTTTTTTTTTTCTCACAAACTGCTTCCTCTTTCAGGATGTTATTAATCTGACAGCATGTTGTTTAGCATGTGATACTTGTTTAAAACAGCAAGGATGAATAAAAATGCACTAAACAACATAGCTTTAGTCTTCAGAGGTTAAAAGGCATTGCTGTTCCTGATCCACTTGTACCAGTGCAGCACATACTAACACGCCACCACCACGTTAGTGTCACTGCAGTACTGAGAATGATCCACAACCCAAATTTTACATGCTCTGCTCTCGGGGGTCCTGTGAGAGTCCTGACTATTGACGAACAGGGTAAAAGGGGGCTAAGAAAGTATGTAAAACAGATGCTAGAACTACAACATGCATCTGTATGGTATGTGGGGCTGATGAAATGGACCTAGAGAGTAGAACCAAGGATTTTAATTTTATGGGTGTATGTTAAAATGTTTGTAGGCACCTGCTCTTCCAGAGATTCTTTAGAAATCAAGGATTATTGGAGAGTTTCTCCTCCTTTGCTGGAGTAACAGCCTCTGCTTTTTTTACACTACATTTTGGGATACTGCTTTGGGCATTTGATTGCATTCAGCCACAAGAGCGTTAGTAAAGTCAGGTACTGATGTTGGATGATTAGTTCCAGATCACCAACTCATCCTAAAAGATATAAAACGGTTCCACTGCTCCTCAGCCAAATGCTGGGCATGATGACCTTAGGCTCATTCTATTGGCAGTGCTTTTCTATGGCGATCATGCTACCTGTACGTGCAATTAACACCTGTGTCAGCAAAGGGTGAACCTTCAAGTAGCTAAATTTACTAATTAGAAGAGGTGTCTAGATATATTTGGACATATATCGTATGTCTGTTGTCTGAACGGGCGGATTTAGTGATTCTGGGGCCCTAGACAAAGACATGGGGAATGGGAGCCCCTGCACATTTTTAAATTAGACAAGGCTCTGGGCTCCCGAGTGCCATCTACACTGCAAAATAGGTCTAAGCAAGTGAAATTTTGAGATGGTTGTATGATCATTATATGATTATTTAACTACTTCTAGACATTTTATGCTTGTTTTAAGTAATTTAATTAAATGAAATTATTTCGCTATAGATATACAAGAGGACGTCCTGGCCTGCTGTCTCACTGTCTGGTATGGAACCTGCACTGTCTCGGACTGTGAGGAAAGCTGAGAAGATCATCAGGGTGTCTTTTCCTACCATCCAACCACATGTGCTGCATCCGTAAGGCCACCAGCATTGTAAACAACCCCTTATGCCCTTCTCTTCACCCTACAGCCAACTGGCAGAAGGTACCGGAACAACTGTCCCACCACAACCAGGCTCAGCAGCAGCTTCTTCCCCAAGGCAGTCAGATCACTGAACACACTAACGTAGGCTGTTCACACACCCCTTGACCATCACTACACACCTGCACTTTAATTCTTGAAATCTTAATCTTTTTAATGCTGTTATGGGACCTCAATTCATGTACATTGTTTTGCTGTTTCATGTGTGTCGTGTGTTTGTCATGAATATTTACTGTTCTGTTTATTTATTGTTAATTTATTGGCTTGTACACTGTTTGTTGTTCTGTATATTTCTGGTGTATTTATTGTATATTCTGCACTCTTTTATTACTGTCATGTATCTGCACTTAATGTAGCCCTATGTAATATGTTATGTTATATACAAGTTATATTGAGGAAAAACAATAAAGACCACTTCACTTAACTAATTCAACATGGACTGCAGTGTGTGTGTGTGTGTGTGTGTGTATATATATATATATATATATATATATATATATATATATATATATACACTGATGCATATCGCCCTCCAGTGGCCCTGTAGTGTAACCACCCCACTCAACTGTGGTTTCATCTACCTGTACTCCTGATTTTAGTGTTGTAATGCTGTAACACACTGAATCTAACTCATTCAAATAAGCTGATTATTAAGTCTTTATGATGCTTAGTTCAATGGAAAACACATAACTATCCACTGCTTGGGGTCTCTGTTTCTCATGGCCTTTGTGCTTTTGTATGCATTTGTCTCGTGTCTTTTTCAGTATTAGAGAAAAACACACACACATTTTCTAAACCGCTTACCCTTCTGGGTTGCAGGGGGTGCTGGGGCCTATCTCAGGAGTCATTGGGCAGAAGGCAGGATACACCCTGGACAGGTCGCCACTCCATCACAGGGCAGACAGACATATACATTCTCACACACCCACACACTCACACACACTCTCACACCTAGGGGCAATTTACTGTGTCCAGCTGGCCTGACTGCATGTCTTTGGACTGTGGGAGAAAACCGGAGCGCCCGGAGAAAACCTATGCAGACACGGGGAGAACAAACTCCACACAGAAAGGACTCTAGTCGCCCAGCTGGGGAAGTGAACCCAGGTCCTTAAATGTTCCATATGAGGTTCATAGAACATTTATAAATAGTACACTTTTTTTTTCTTCCTGGTAAGACCACCAAATGTTTCATCACCAGATAAACAGTACTTTAAGCTTTTATCTTTGAGGGATAGGAGAAAATCAAGCTCCACTCTTGCTTCAGAATTGAGAAAATCCACAGGTATTTCTGTCCACCCTTCCACAGTCTGGAAAGATGTGTAACTGTCAAGAAAAAGTTGATACTGAGAAAAGAAAATAGTGTAAAAAAAGAAAGAAAGGAAATTTGCAAATCAATAAGTTTAATTTTAGTCTGAAAGTTTTTGGTGCATAAAACCACATAAGGACATTAGGGGGAAAAAATACAATATAAAAAAGATAAGGAAATGGGCCCTCTTGTAGTCAGGCCAATAAAGAATACAGTACTGCTACGTGGTAATGGTTTTTAATTTAGCAGCATCCAAATGGGTTACTGAAGTATAAAGTAATGAAATGCAGACTGTTTAACTGGGCCATAGCATTTACTACAGTCATGTGAAGCAGCGAACAGGCTGAGCACAGCCTTTCTAGCAGCTAGCGAGGGCTTAACAGAGATAATCAATTCTCACATGCTGTAAACAACATGAACAATTGATTTAAACTAGTTTTACATGTGAAGCAGAAGCAGTAGGCAGTGGACTGGTAAAAAATAATGAGCTGTATGAAAGAGGCTGCAATTGCATGTATCTAAATATGAGAGTTTTTAGTCTTTCAGGTGACAAAATCACCAGCTGTTATGAATCAGGGTGACCGCACTTATAATGTTGAAATTTAAAAATTCTTTCTAGGATTCTTTGTCTCCTTTATCATAATGCCGTTCACATTGACTCACTGCTTGTAGCAAATTGAAGCTGTCCAGTTTTCATCAGAAACTGCTGGATCTGACTGGACTTCTAAAACTGAGTAGAAGAATTTATGTTTGGCTCAGGTACTTATACATATGAATGATAATATATAAATATATATATACACACACACACACACATACACCGATCAGGCATAACATTATGACCACCTCCTTGTTTCTACGCTCATTGTCCATTTTATCAGCTCCACTTACTATATAGGTGCACTTTGAAGTTCTACAATTAAAGACTGTAGTCCATCTGTTTCTCTGCATACTTTGTTAGCCCCCTTTTACCCTGGTCTTCAAAGGTCAGGACCTCCATGGACCCTCACAGAGCAGGTACTATTTGGGTGGTGGATCATTCTCAGCACTGCAGTAACACTGACGTGGTGGTGGTGTGTGTTGTGCTGGTCTGAGTGGATCAGACACAGCAATGCTGCTGGAGTTTTTAAACACCCTGTCCACTCACTGTCCACTATAGACACTCCTACCTTGTCAGTCCACATTGTAGATGTAAAGTCAGAGAAGATAGCTCATCTGCTGCTGCACAGTTTGTGTTGGTCATCCTCTAGTCCTTCATCAGTGGTCACAGGACACTGCCCACAGGAAGCTGTTGGCTAGATATTTTTGGTTGGTGAACTATTCTCAGTCCAGCAGAGAGACTGAAGTGTTTAAAAACTTCAGCAGCACTGCTGTGTCTGATCCACTCAGACCAGCGCAACACACACCAACACACCAGCACCACATCAATGTTACTGCAGTGCTGAGAATGATCCACCACCCAAATAGTACCTGCTCTGTGAGGGTCCATGGGGGTCCTGACCACTGAAGAACAGGATAAAAGGGGGCTAACAAAGTATGCAGAGTCTGTAATTATAGAACTACAAAGTGCACCTATATAGTAAGTGGAGCTGATAAAATGGACAATGAGCGTAGAAACAAGGAGGTGGTCATAATGTTATGCCTGATCGGTGTATACACATACATATAACAGTTTCAACAGCACAATCTGATTGGTTGAGAAATGTTGCTATGATCACAAACATTTCAGATGGCTGAGGATCTAAAAATGAAGCTAAGTGATGCCTACAAGACGGGAAGGCTATAAAAAGATATTAAAGTTCTTACAGTGGTTCAGGGAATTTGTGGAAGTCAATGCAAGATTTGGAAGACTAAGGAAGTTCTCAGACAGAACCACTCTTATACTGGCCAGAAAAACAAAAGGAAAACCCCCATAAGACAAGGGTCGATGTCTGAAGTATGAAAAAAAAGACAAGCCAGAGGCATTTTGAAAACAAGTGCTGTGGACTGATGAAGTGAAAATAAACTCTTTGGCCACAATCGCTAAAGGTGTGTTTGGAGAAAAAAAGCGCAGCATAATAAATAAATAAATACTACTAAGCATATGGGTGGCTGTATTATGCTTTAGGGTTGTGTGGCAGCCTGATGCACAGGTACATGTTCGTTTAACCAATTTCAAGCATCTCTCTGTGGCAGCCCAGTATTACACGTGGTTATTATCTATCCTTCATCTAGATTGGCTAATCAATGCTTCATTAAATTAAATCAAATATGCTGGTGATGGAATTTAAGAAATCCATGTGAAGGCTGGAGTTCTTCAAACTAGCACACAAGTTATTAACTGCTTTTTACAAAATAAGACATTCTTGTTACTATATTAGTGAATCCTGAAATTCTGAAATCCTGAAATTGTTTATTTGCATTCCTATCTAATGATGTATGGTGATATTACAAGCAAAGACACACTTATTGTAAAGGTAAATAGTTTAAATTATTAAATAAAAAGATCAAATAAAAGTGTATATAAAAGTTGCATTCTGTTTTATGTTATATGTAATATGATCTGAATGTAAACGTACAAATATAAATACAAATTATAATCTGAATAATGAATATTCATGATTTAAATGCGCATAAATTAATACGTGTTGCTATAGAAATTAGTCAAGTTTATTGCCAGAGCAGTATTTCAGAATGAAAAATGCTGTTACACACTGTCCCCCCTAGCGGAGCTGCAGTGTCCCGGGCAGCGCAGCTGCGCTCAACGGGGGGAGGAAGAGCAATTCCGGGAACAGCCGGTCCGAGGAGAACAGCCAGCACGGGGGGGGGCAGGGCCAGCACAGGGAGTCACTACATTCCGGGCAGGAATTCAATAAGAGAAGCAGACACAAACAAACAGAGAGAAAGAGGGACAGAGAGGGAGAGAGAGAGAGCGAGAACGCACGCAAGCGGGGAGAAAGAGGGAGACAGAGAGAACGCACGAAAGCGGGGAGAGAGAGGGAGAAAGAGAGAGAGAGAGAGAGAGAGAGAACGAACGAACACGCACGCAAACGGGAGAGAGATTCTCAGGGTGGAGGCAGACACACACTCACTCACTCACTCTCTCTGTCTGTCTCTGCCTCAGCAGGTCCGCCTTCATTCTGTCTGAGGCATTGAGGGGAGTTTTTGGATTTTGTTTTTCTGACTGGAGACAAAAATTACTGACATTTCCTCGTCGTAAACAGACACGGAATATTATTCGATAGTGAAAAAACACAGATTTTAACTCGTTTCAGAGTTAAAATCTATCGCTGCGGCGCGCTAAACATGAGGAGAGTTAGTTAGCACGGAGAGCTAACGCAGTTAGCTAACGAGAGTTAGCACAGTTAGCCGCTAGCTCTGCTGCTAGCTAACCGCTTGCACGGAAAAGTGAGAAGAGATGGAGCGTGTGGACTTTGGCGAGCTTCACTGAGGACTGGATTTAGTAGTAACGGAAAGTTTGCGACGCGTACTTCGTTTGTTTGTTTACTCGTTTATTTTTGTTTTACTTTATTTTTGAGCTAATGGATTCGGCTCCGAGTTTCCAGCCTCCGGCTGGTCTCCAGCAGACTCTGCGTCAGTTCCACCTGAGCTCCATGCGCTCTTTGGGCGGACCAGCAGCTTTCTCGGCTCGCTGGCAGCGCGAGGCTCCGTTTGGTAAAACCGGAGGGAACGAGCCGCTTCCACCAGGACCCACACGTTCTCCGCCGCCGCCCCTGCTCCCCGGGCCTTTACTGGTGCCTCCTGACCGTTCTACAGCGCGCTGCGAGACGGTGCTAGAGCGCGAGACCATTTCGTGCTTCGTGGTCGGCGGAGAGAAGCGACTCTGCTTGCCGCAGATTCTAAACACGGTGCTGCGCGACTTTTCCCTGCAGCAGATCAACGCAGTGTGCGACGAATTGCACGTGTACTGCTCCCGGTGCACCGCAGAGCAGCTCGAGATCCTCAAAGTCGTGGGCGTGCTGCCGTTCTCCGCACCCTCGTGCGGGTTGATCACGCAGACGGACGCCGAAAGACTCTGCAACGCGCTCTTGCACGGAGGATCTCTCCCGCCGCGAGGAGACCCAGCAGCCGTGGAGCTCGCGAGCACCAAGAAGAGCATCCCCGTGTACCACGAGTGCTTCGGCCGCTGCGACGGCGTGTTCGTGCCCGAGCTGTACTCAAACCCCGGTGCCGCTTGCGTGCAGTGTGCGGACTGCGGGTTCATGTTCCCCGCGCGCCGCTTCGTGGTGCACAGCCACCGCCGCCGCGAAAACCGCACGTGCCACTGGGGCTTCGACTCGGCCAACTGGCGCGCGTACGTGCTGCTGGACCGCGACCGCGCGCAGCCCGCGGAGCACTCGGAGCTCCAGAGGAGGCTGGACGAGCTAAAGGAGAAATTCCAGCGGGCCGGGAAACACGCAGCACCAGAAATCACGGTAAGAGTTACACTGAGTGTGTGATTGAGACTTGGGTGAGAGTGCATGCACTCATGATCACTTGTGCGCATTTAAATACGAGAACGTTGCTGTTTAAACTACTAGCTAACATGTTCATCTGTGTATGTAAGAGAGAACTTCAACTCTTTTAGGACAGGCAGTTTTTTAACTTTGGCTGCGTGTGTGCATCTGTTTGTGTGTGTGTGTGATATTGCCGTTTGTCTTCGGAAAATGCCGACCCCCATCAGTTCAGACGTTTGTTCAATACAATAACAATCTGAACCATTCAAGACATTGTGAAAATATGTCTGTTACACCGCTGTTTGCCTTTTTAATGAAGCAGATTCGTACTTTTACTGCGGTGATGTAAGCACAGCTGCTTCAGAACACCTGCATCCACTGAACATTGCTAATACATGATATGTGCATGTACTTGGTCTGTGTTAAAGAATGTAACACTGTTCTGCCCAACATTCTGCACAGTTAACCTCTGCGGCAGTGACTGCATTTCACCTGCATATCCGTGACTTGAAATTAGCCACTTCTTTTGCCAGATGTGACCATTTTTCCTCCAGAATCTGAAATTAGCAACTTCTTTGCCAGACGAGTCCATTTTTTCCTTCAGAATCTAACATTAGACACATCTTTTGCTGGATGCTTTGTTTCTTCAGTAATTTGACCAAATGAAACACTTTCTCCCCAAAACTAGAAATAAGACTTTACCTGTAACATTTGAAATTAGGCAGTTTTTACTGGATGAGCTTTTTTTCTCTACCAGCATTTGAAATTAGACAGTTCTTTTACGGCCATAGTCTGAAATTAAACACTGTCTGTTACCAAAATGGAGTAATGATGTCTGTTTTTTGCCCTATGTTTAGCATTAGTGCTCTGTTTGCACACTCAGTGACATCTGCATATAACAAATGGAGCTGTGGGAATACTTTATTATAAGAAAGATAGGAAGGCTGGGTGGGGGATGAGATAGAGGTGTGTATTGTGTTTTTTGTGGGGGTGCAGTGTGAGTTTGTGTGTCTATGGGGGTGTAGAGGTCATCCCCCAAAAAAGCTGTGGTGTTTGGGGTCACCACTGACCCTGTGTGTGAGTGGTCACAGACACCATGTGGCAGCTGCTGAACGTGACGTGTGTGTGTGTGTGTGTGTGTGTGTGTGTGTGTGTGTGTGTGTTACCATGGTGTTACTCCAGCAGGCTCAGTGTGGCTGATCGGGGCAAATGCAGTTTGATTACTACGAGAAATGTGACAGACGTGACACATTTCAGAGATGCAGCGTTGTTTATTTTTATCATTTACTACACAGGGCGATAGAAAGGCCTACATCTCAGTTTATGCTTGCACTTGAATTGTTCATGTTTTAATAAAATGTACTACTCAGTGCTTTAAAACTGTATGCATCAAAAGTATAATGATGCATCGATCTAAGCTGCCATTTTATTTGCAGTGATTTTGGAATGTTATCAATTATTGTACACTCTTAAAAAATAGTTTTTCAAGGCTTTTCTAGTAAAGAAAATCATGAACACTCAAAGGACTAAATTTGATTAAAGGATTCTTTGCATCATGGAAGTGTTCTTCAGATTGATGGAGAACCTGCTGTAGATGGTTCTGTATAGGTTCTATATATATATATATATATATATATATATTATATATATATATATATATATATGTATATGTGTATATGTATGTGTGTGTGTGTGTGTGTGTGTGTATATATATATATGTGTGTATATATATATATATATATATATGTATATATGTGTGTGTGTGTGTGTGTGTGTGTGTGTGTGTGTGTGTGTGTATGTATATATATATATATATATGTGTATGTATATATATATATATATATATATATATATATATATATATATATATATATATATATGTGTATGTGTATGTATATATATATATATAATGTGTGTATGTATAGTTGAAAAGGGTTCTGTATATCACCCAAAAGGGTTCTTCTATTGCTACAAGCTTAACATCATAACAATAGAAGAACCCTTTTGAGTGCTATATAGAACACTTTTCAACAAGGTTCTATATAAAGCCATCTACAGAACATTATGAAGAGCACTTTCATGATGCAAATCCTAATGTATTGTTTTTATTGTCCATATTCCACTGATGTGTCCTCAGTTCCTCCAGTTACATTTTTTTGGTATATTTTCAAAATTATTGAACCAAATTACAGGTACTTATTGTACCAAAAACAAAATAATAAAATCAAACTCTAATCGAATCATGGTGAAATTTAAGATTACATGATGCATTGAATTGTTTCCAAAAAATCATAATTGAATCAAGTCATATTTGAGTTCATTGTGTATTTTACAAAAATGATGAATCGTAACAAAATAATCCAGTTGAATCTTGGTGAAATCTGAGACTGTGATGTGTTGAATCTTTTTTCCTAAGGAGGCAAATCCAGTCGAATCTTTACATGGTTACTCGTTTACACCTCTGTCCTGAATGTCCTGATATATTCAGGATGATGTGTGTTTTTTCTTTTTTTTTCTTCGGATGAAGCGTTTGCGCTGGTTCATTGTCAGAAGTGTCCCAGTTAGCATGGGGGTCAGCTCCCCCCGGGATGAGCGCACCACTGTGTGTGTGTGTGTGTGTGTGTGTGTGTGTGTGTGTGTGTGTGTGTGTGTGCATAAATCATCCTGATGGAGCTGAACGAGGGGACAGCAGGCCACCCTGGCTCACTAACACACCAGACAACAGCTCAGTGTTATCACCCAGCCACAGCTACCCTTAAATACGGCAGAGTTTTACTCATCAAACTACCCTCACACTCTCTCTGCCTCTGGTTCACGTCATACATATTTTACTTAATCTCTGCCTGCTTCTTTATAAGGCTGCACAATGTATTGTTGTTTGTCCTTTATCATGATATTTGCTTTGCAAAGCTGAACGGTGGAACTAAATGGCTGTATATGTATATATGTTTTCCTGGCTTGTTGGTATTGTTCTAAAAAACTTTAGATGGTGTGTATTATTTACATTATGTTGTCGTTTTTCCATTTTCACACATCTCTTACAGTGGTTCTTTAAAGAATTGTCTGTTTGGAAGATTCTTTAGAGAACCAAAAATAGTTCTTCTATAAAAGCAGTTTGCAAACTGGTCTTCAGAGCCCTCCAGACAGTCCACATATTTGCAATACATAGGGATTAAGGGAAAATATGGACTTTCTGGGGGCCCTTAGGACTGGTTTGAGAACCGCTGTATTATACAATGTTCTGTCTCTGAAATGTTAACTTTACAGAAGAAAGAAAAAAACTTTGGCTTAATATTGGTTAATATAACTTAAAACTTGAAAGGTTTACTTTCCAAAATTTCTGTTGATCCATTCTTCATCAAGTGTTAGCGCAATGTAATGGGCAGGTGGCATTTTCAAATAGTGTAAAAGGTTTTTATTATTCATTATGATTACGCACGTTCCTCGGGTTCTTGTAAGTGATGATGCTTTTGTTCAGCAGTTGCTGAAAATCTAGTCCACACTATCATGACATCACTATCATGAAAGGATGTGCTGCAGAGTCTGTGTTGTGGTTAAAGAACTGGCCTGAATCCTTTGAGGCCAGTGTCCAGACTTTGTCTGGCTGGCTGCAGCATTGGGGAGATTGCTGGGAAGGGTGTTGGACATTCATTAAAAAATTGCCGGCTGTGTCCGCTGGGGCCTTGACATGTATAGTCCAAGGGCCATGACACGTGACCTCTTTGCAAAACCAGTGACCCTCCCTGCCCCAAACCCCCCTCTTTTTCTTTCATTCCAGCTAGCCAATCACATAGCCCTTTGGGTCTCCAACTGGACAGATGGCTGTCTGATAAAAGGCCCAAAAAATGGCGAATAAATTACTGGCTAAACATTTACTACAAAAAATCACGGCTTGATGCAAGTGATATTTTCACCTCTTGCCCAATCTGCAGAGAATGTTGCAACAGAAACTTTGACAGTGGTCCAAGCAGTTTACCAAATGTGATCACCTTCAGAACACCATTTTATATCAGTCTGTGGATTAGCATCTGCGTTAGGGCAGCCCCAGGAATTTTCTTAGTTGGCCAAAGGGTCTGATTTTTGACTGAAAGTTGTTTACTCCTTACTTCACTTCGTTGTATCTGAAAACATATTACTATCGGATTTAAAACAATGCTACACCTTAAAGGAAAGTTTTGGTTTTGCTATGTATGTTATTTGAAACATTATTTTATTGAGCTCAGAGGACTACAGATTAGCATGATGACCACTACCTACACTTAATTTTTTTTCAAGTGGTACGTCATAATCAGTGTTGTACTTGGTAAGTAAAGTGCTGTTTGCAGTGTTTACTTTCCAACTGAAAAGGGATGCTCTGACTGATCAGTCATTTCTGATGGGCTAGCTTTTATCTGCATCTGAGTTTAGCATTTATGGAGTGGTCCAGTTTCCAAGATATTACAGAACAGAGACGGTATTGGAGCAAATTGTTCAGGCTTTAACATTTGGCTTTATCGTCTGTGCTATACATGTATTATATGTTGTTTGTTAACTGTTATCGCGATGTCGGCTTCCACGGTACTAATATTGCAGAAGTCTCAAATATGCCGGTGAGTCCTCTAACCAATCACTTATTTTTACTCTGTGTTGCAAGCATCCTGATCAGTGCTATATGCTTTAGGTATTTGGACGAATTTAGACATTCACACGATCCAATAAACAAATTATTTTGGTTAAAATAATACAGACCAGTCTTTAAACTGGTCACATTGAGGGTTCATCAGTATGTTTTCCATATAATTCACGGGCTACTGCATTAAGCAGTAATTGGAGTATTAGTATCGTGTTTGTATCATGCAGCCCTAATCTGTTGCTCATGATCTGGCTTGATCATTCTTACCCTCTTAGAAGTCAAGGTGCCAAAAAGAGCTCTTGGAGCAGTGCCGTAGAAGAACGACTTTTGGTCCCATGAAGAGCTTTCAGTGGATGGTTCTTTGAAG